GTGGTGGGGTGTAATAATGTGTAGTGTGGTGTGGTGTGGTGTGGTGTGGTGTGGTTTGGTGGGGTGTGATATTGTGTGGTGTGATGTGGTGTGGGTTTAACGCCCTTTTCAGTAATAGTTTGACAGATTTTTCAGGCTAAACTTCTGAATTGTATGTCCATCTCTAATAATATGACCAGCCAAGAAGGCAGAGGCACTTAACAAATTCTCAAAGAAAGACGTTCAATAACACTGCATTATAGATTTGAACCAGAGTTGAAAATTTCTGAGCTCACGAAGATATGTGGACACAGCACAGCCGTATTATAAGGCAACACATGACGTCTAACTGAACGTCCCATTCATATTGGATTTAGCCAAGGAACAAATCATTTCACATAGACCTGAAACGCCTCGATTACAATTCTAACCATGATAGTACCGATTGTAAACGGTTTAACCCCCTCCCCCGATCAAAGATATTTAGATCATTAAGGATGCAGGCTGCTTTGGCCCTGCCTATTTGCCTATCAGGGCCAACCCGGGCAGAGTGGGATGAAGCATTCTTGCAGGCAGAACTAACTGGTAGATAAATCATTCTCCCCTCCCCACCCTCCTTTCAGGAATGAAACTCGTGCCTTTTGCGTCAACCTGTGAAGACCCTGACCTTTCCGCCAAAATGGTCCCCCGACAATGCAAACCAACCTGAAAAAGATTAATCTATCTGAATGCTTAATTAGAGCCCAGGGAGGAAGTGACAAACAAGACAAGAATGCAATTACATGTGCATGTACTGTCTTTGAAGGGACATAAATCATAATTTTGAACGTTCCCAAATGTCTGTTTTTATGTATTGTTTGGCTTGTCCCATGTTGTCCTTCAATACTATTTTAAATCAGAAACAACAGCAGTCACCTACTAGTGACTTAGATGTATTCAATTTAAAACAATCGCACGTAGAAACCACGGTTGTGGTCACCTACAAGTGACATAAATCTATCTAATTTAAAATAACCGTACATGAAAGAAAGGCGGTAGTCATCAATGTTTCTTACGATAACTTTTGTCATCAGAATCACTCACAACAGCTCATTTGGAGAGGAGAGCTTAAACAGATGGGTGACGTGGAAAGATCAGGATAATGTAGCATTTTTAGAGCCTCCAAGCAAGGGAATGAGTGGAGAGCCATGATCACCGATGTCTGTTGCAGACTTGGCACTTGATGATAAACTTATGCCATTTTTCTCGAGAGGCCGCAAGTGTTTTGACTCTAGACTTTTAGCAAAGCTGTAGATGGAACTTTTTGAACACTCGTCGGAGTCACGGTAGCGGGGAATTGAAAGTCAAGGGAAGACAACTGAGTGGTGGTAGTAAGGGCAGACGACTGTGTGGACGACACAGAAAGTGGTGAGAATTCGAAGAGTTTCACGCGTAGAAGAGTTCTGGGTTGGGATAGAAAGA